AGTAATTCAATTGAGTAGTTTTAATTTTTATCCCATCCAACAAATGAAGCAGAAAGAGCCTAAGCAACTTGCCCAGAGTCGTACAGGAGGAGAGCCCACGCAGTCTGGCTCTAGGGCCTGAACTCTCAATCACTATATCTTGCCCCTGCCTACTCCTCTAGCTCATCTCCCATTGCTCTCCTCCCTGTTCCTAATCTCTTAGCCACTCTCAACTAAAGACCGTTCTCCAACACAATAGAGCCTCTTAGAGTTTCCTGCTTTTACTTATGTGGCCTCTCAAGAGAACGTGTCCCTTCACTCCTCCAAAATCAGCGAGGTGCTCTACTACCACTTTTACGAGTCTCACTCCAAGCACTTTGTTTTGTGGAGCCTTACTTGATAACTCTTTCCTCCCCAACTTCCCTGACAAGAACTAGAAGCTTCTTGGCTGTCCCACAGTTGCTTATGTTAGGCTCTTGAAGGGCTTTTATCCCATTTGCATCATCATAGTAATAATTTTTTATGTTACTTTGCATTAAACCATGAGCTACTCAAGGGCAAGGAGAAGACCTCACATGTCTTTGTATTTGCCATGACTTGGGGATATAGCAGACATTCAATAAATGTTTATTTAATCAATGTATGAAGAAGAAAAATAAACATAAGAAAAAAATTAGCTTTACTATTTCAACAAATTGTCAATATCAAATAAAGTATTTTAATGATAATATCCAGTGTTGGTGAAACAATAGGAAAATAAGCACTGCAATTTCCCATTCAATACCTAATTCCCTCAATCCCATTTCAGCTTTTTCCCATTTCTTGTTCTTGGATAACACTATAGATTAAATCTCTCAGGCGCTCATCTTTCTATAATCTTTTTTTATTGGTGAAATTTCAAGATTGATTAGCATACTATATTTTAAGTTACTTTTGGTTTGCTAATGACTTTTTTCTCATAGACTTTTCATGGATGATTTTGTAGCAATAATTGAAGTGGTGTGGTGGTAAGGGTAACATTACTATACTGCAGAGCACAAAACTGACAACTATTAGACACTGATATTAAGTCTCTCACCTCTTCTCCCAAAGCGGGTATCTCCTTGGCCTGCTTTCCTTATTAAGATATTCCTCCCTCTTCTCCTTCTGGCATGAACTTGGAACTCTTCTTTTATCTCCACACGTCCTCAACACCTATCCAGGGCCATGCCCAGAAATTTAAAATTTCTCCCTCTAATTAAGCAAAATAATACACGACTCTCTTCACCTCGGAGTCTAGCCCAACCTGGCCGTGTCCTGGGGACTTCTTAAAATAACCAAAGTGTTCCACCAACTGGATTAAAATTGTTTTAAATGCCACACGACCTGACCATATTAATGAGACTTAAAATTCTTACGTCATGGGGTCTGTTCTTTCTGGAGGTGGTGCAATATTCATAAACATGGTTGGTTCAATACTTCTCTGAAGAGGTTTTAACTGAAAAAAATGTAAGTGTATGTTAACACTGTTTAGTTATAATTAAAACTCACTAATTGTAATGCCATACCATATTAATACCATATGCTATGAATACCCCACGACTATGAAACAGATCTTAAATGAGACATGTAAGGAAAAAAGGAATTAAGAGAGGAAAGAAAACAAACTAACATTTATTGGATACTAAATATTTGCCAAGCATTTTATTATACCTTTAATCTTATTTAACCACCTCAATAAACCTACACCATAAGTAACTATGCATATTCTACCGATGAGACTGAAGATGAGTCATTTGCTCAAGGCTACACAATAGGCAAGAGTCAGGACTTGAATGTAGCTTTATCTGTCCCCAAGGTAGTGCTCTGTTTACAGTATCGCAGTAGGCAAGTATGGGACCATACCACTGAAAAGCTCATAGACATAAAGTCGAGTTTTTATTTTGAACTTTTCTTATATATCCCATTCTTTTCCATACAATTCCTTTGTTCCTCATTTTTAGTAGATTTCACCAACATAAAATAATACTTGCCCAGTTTTATCTGAAAAGGATACCTCTCCTTAAAAGTGGCTATTATTATATATTATATTTCTGTTCAGACACAAAACCTACCTCTGAAGTTGGTGTTCATATGCTATAACTGTCACAAAAAGGAGTAAACAACTAAGGGTCCCTATAAGGCCTAATTATGATAAGAATTTTTTAAAATAGCAGAAGAAAAAGTAAAAAATCATAGCAGAGAATGGAAAAAAAAAGCTTGTTCCTTGCAGCTTTCATCTGTGTATTACTTCTGATTCAAAATGTATTAAACATCATTATAATATAGGCAAAATTTTAAAGCATATTACAGAGATTTCTCAGTTAACAGAGTGGTAGACTTGTCTAATAAGACTGGTGTCTTCACTCCCAATTCCTAACTTAAAAACACTCAAAACTTAAAAAAATAAAAAAGGGAAACTGAAAGTGATAAATGACATGTAAATAAAGGTCATTTCCCCTATACAACAGCAGTACTAATAGGACTGCATTTTTGAATACCACAAAACTGATGACACCCAGGAATATTAAGAATTCTTTCAATATTTGATGAGAGTATATATGGGTACTTTTTTAGAATAATTCATTGAAAAGGTCATTGTTTTGGACAAGAATTTCCTTTCTAGGAATCTGGCCTAAGGATATAATTAAAGAAAAGGACATAGGTTAGTACATAAAAGTATTTGTGGCAATGTGGACACATGGTAGTGAATTTAAAGGAGCAAGTCACAACTAGGAAGACATCTTCTTTGGGTTTATTACTCTCTTGATGAACCAAGGAGGGTTAAAATAACAACAGATGTTGAAAAACTATGGAGGAAAGGAGCATATGAGTATTATCTGAATAACATCAGTGACTCCATTTGTTTTTTCAGACATAAAATCTCACTATGTTGTCCAGGCTGACTCAAGTGACCCTCCCTGCTTCAGCCTCCGGAGTATCTAAGATTACAGGTATGAGCTACCAGGGCAGACAGACAATAACTCAATTTTTGGTAACTATATTTAGATGCAGAAATCCACACTGATTTCTTGAATACTTCTATTTTAAATTACATCAATATATATGTATACACACATAAAAGCAAGTTTTATTTTATTTTTTTGAGACAGAGTCTCACTCTATCACCCAGGCCGGAGTGCAGTGGTATGATCTTGGTTCACTGCAACTCCCGCCTCCCAGGTTCAAGTGATTCTCCTGCCTCAGCCTCCCGAGTAGCTGCAATTACAGGCACGCACCACCATGCCTGGCTAATTTTTGTATTTTTAGTAGAGATGGGGTTTCACCATGTTGGCCAGGATTGTCTCAAACTCCTGACCTCAGGTGACCCACCCACCTTGGCCTCCCAAAGTGCTGAGATTACGGGCCTGAGACACCATGCCCAGCCTAAAATCCAGTATAAAACTGGATTTTTTTTATTATAAAAATAAGACATTTTGAATAAAATATCATTGCTTTAAAATGCATAAACAAATCATAGTAAAGTCTCATCTTTCTTTAGGCTGATGAAAAGCCCACATACCTCAAGGATGGGAGGTAAAGAAGCATCTCTTAAAAATATTTATTTTAAAGAATTGATCAAACTGAAATAGGATGATTTGACTGAAGAGTTCCAACAGAATAATCTTTTAAAAGAGGAGAACTAACCTGATGTGAAAATCCATAACCAAAGTTTCCATAGCAGAACATAAATTTCACCTCCAGCCTGCAGACAAGCTAAACATGTGGTAAATTTTATTGTTTGATCAGGATGAGATTTTAATAGAGAAGTGACAAAATGTGATATTTTTACTTTACTCATCTGTAAGTTAGAAAAACCAAAGTATGAATCTCTTGACTTTTCAAAAAGCATTTACACAAGAAACTCCTACAGAAGAATCTACTGAGTTCCTGAAATGTTAAAACCTTTTGTGTTAAAGTTAAGTAGTATTATAGAATTAAAATATGGAAACTATCAACTTCTAATTGCTAATAGGATTACACTGAGATGCTCACATATATATGGAGATTCATACACGTGTATGTATATTTTTAATTCTTTACTCACACTCCTCTCACCTCCAGTCCCATTTTCAGATAAAATTTTGATTTAGACAAATGATTTCAGTTCTCTGAACCCAGATTGCGTATAGGTGAAATAAAGGAGGGCACAAGAAGTAATAATGCCAAGTTCCTGGCCCCTGTTTTGGCCAATGGCAGCAAAAGTCTCTCTGAATAGAAAGATCAATTAATCCAACTACTAATTTTAAGCACTTAAAAAGAAATTGAAGTAAGAACTATAAACAACTCTTTAGAAACTCCTTAGAGAGAAAAATAATGCTTCCTCAATTTAGCAAGTGAGGCTCCCGAGGCTTTGCAGCTAAAGCAAGAGCCACAGGCGTTCTACTCTCTCACCCAATGATTGCTAATTTTCTTTATCACCATTTAGCAAAAAATATATAAATAAATAAAATAAGGAAAGGAGAATGAGGAAGAAGAGGAGGAGGAGATTCTTGTTAGTAAATATTGACTTTCTATTTAATACATTTCTACTATTTCAAACAGTGACTGGTACAGTAACTGAAAGAATAAAAACATGCAGGTTACAAATAATATCAGAGGAAAGTTACATGAAATGTTAAGAAAATATTACATGCACATAAAACTTAGGAAGTTTCAGTAAAGTCCTTACTGCGTTTCTATGCAACATTTGAACATCTTCAGTGAAGTACCCTTTCTAGAAAAAAGAAATAATAAAGTTTTAAAATATAGAATTACTCATGTATTTCCCTGTATATTATCTAAACCAAGGGTTCCCAGCCCCTAGGCCATGGGCTGGTACAGGTCCATGGCCTCCATGTCCTTTTAGGAACTGGGCTTCACAGCAGAGAATGAGTGGTGGGCAAGCGAGCAAATCTTCATCTGTATTTATAGCCACTTCCCATCACTCATATTACATCAGAGCTCCGCCTCCTGCCAGATCAATGGGGCTTTAGATTCTCATAGGAGCAGGAACCCTATTGTGACCTGTACACTCAAGGAATCTAGGTTGTGCTCCTTATGAGAATCTAATGGCTGATGATCTGTCACTGCCCCCCATCATCCCCACATAGGTACACTTAATTGCAGGAAACCAAGCTCAGGACTCCCACTGATTCTATATTATGGTGAGTTGTATAATTATTTCATTATATATTACAATGTAATAATATTAGAAATAAAGTATACAATAAATGTAATGTGTTTGAATCATCCTGACACCCCTCCCCACCCTGGTCCATGGAAAAATTGTCTTCCATGAAACAAGTCCCTGGTGCCAAAAAGGTTGGGGACTGCTGATCTAAACATATTATAGTTTTTTTTAAATCAGGTAATAACTTTTCAAATCCACATATGAACCTAATAGCCAAAATACAAATATAAGGAATGTTCAAAAGAAGAAAATAAAAGTTTAAGTAACAGAAGTAAATATATTTATATTATGTTGTAGACAAAAATGTTCCTAATAAGTTCAACTTCCCCTTTACAATCACTCGTGAGAAGAACCTGGCATCTGTCACTAAGGTTTCTGCAACCTCAGACTCTGTGCAAGACCAATAGACTGCCCAGCCCAACCCAGGACTCCTTTTGTCTTCTTTGCTCCCCATAGACCAGTTCGTTAACCTTTTCTCCTATTTCTTTTTCCTCTTGATGTTAAATGTTACTTCGTTGTGGAATGTTTAACTTATAACATTTATATATTAAGTGTACTATTATGCATGTTTGCAATGTTGACTGACTTGTGGAATGGCTTGAGCCTGTGTGCCCACAACTCTAACTGTTGAGTGAACGGGAGGCACTCATGAGAGTTGGCTCCTTGGGAACTCCATGTAGCTTGTGGCTTTTGTGATTGAAATAGCATCAGTAAAAACCTGACATTGTGGAAAGACAAACATGTATGGACCTGGTTACCTCTAACCTTGCACCCTCATGAGAGAGGGGTTACTTAAACATAATTCTGTATGATAAGTTGAATACCGACAGGACTGAGTACCTCTCTCATCTCTCAGAGATGGCTGGATCTTTTAAACCAGCTAAACTTTCGTACCCTTGCTCAATATCTACAGTCATCCCTGCTGTTATGAGTCAGTCCACAATTCTCCAGAAACTTTTTGAGTGCCAAAATGACACCAGAAGTAAAAAAATTCCATACCTGGCCTATGTGACAAGTCACAACCAATATACAAAATATACAATGAAGACTTTGTTTCATGCACAAAATTATTTAAAATATTGTATAAATTTACCACTAGCCTATGTGTATAATATGTATATGAAACATAAATGAACTTCATGTTTATACTTGGGTCCCATCCCCAAGATATCTCATGATGTATATTTGAATATTCCAAAATCAAAAAAACATTAGAAACGCCTCTGGTCCCAAGCTTTTTCAGATGAGTAATATTCAACCTGTACAGACATTCTGGAAAATATTATGGATATTCTTCAAAACATTAAAAATATCATTACTATATGATCCAGCAATCCCACTTCTGAGTATACATTTAAAGAGACTGAAATTGGTATGTCAGATTTCATGCACTCATTTCAGCATGATTCACAATAGCCAAGATATGAAAGCAACTTAGTGTTCATCACCAAATGAACAGATGAGTATGTGGTGTATATACATACATGCAATGGAATACTATGCAGTTTAAAATAAAAGGAAATTCTGTCATTTGTGACATGGATGAAACTGGACAATTTTATGCTAAGTTAGCCAGGCATAGAAAGACAAACACTGTATGATCTCACTTATCAGTGGAATCTAAAAAAGTCAGTCTCATAGAAACAGTAGAAAAGTGGTTACCGGAGGCTGGAGAGTAGGGGTAGGAATGGAGAAAGAGATGTCCAAAGTCTCAATTAGACTGCAGGAGCAGGTTCTAGTAATCTACTGCACTGCCTGGTGACTATGGTTAATAATAATGTATTGTGTATTTCAAAATTGCTGAATAAAATATATTTTTATCATCCTTAGTATAAAAAAGATAAGTTGGTGAGGTGATGAAAATATTAAGTGGCTTGACTGAATTTTTTTTAGTGTATACATAGATCAAAACATTACATTGTACCCCATAAATATATACAGTGCTTGTTGATTAAATATAAATAAATAATCAGCTAAAAATTACTTTATGGGCAAACAGAAGAATACTCCCATATGGAATAGTATACAGCAGCAAAAAATTAACACTAGCTAAGTGTATTAATATTAAAAATATATCATATTTAGAAATATAAAATGATATTTTTATAATCATACATAAGTAGTAAAGCTATGAAAAAATAAGGGAATAATAAATACAAAGTTTTGGATAATCATTATTTTTCCCTGGGGGAGAGGGAGGAGACAGAAGATGGCATCAAGCAGCAACATAAAGACTTCAACTCTATTTTTATTAAACTGCAACAAAGAAAATGCAAAAGCCTTGCATTATAAAAGTCCTTTAGACCCCATCTTCTCCCTATGCTGTATGCTATGGCTGTCATACGCATGACCTCTCCAAACATTATAAACCACACAGATAAGGTTATAATTTTTTCTTTAAATAATCACACAAATTTTAAAGAAAGTAATAAGAAAACAATAGTCTTTCCTTCATTCTGCTGTTGAGCCCATTCAGTAAATGTTTAATTTCGGATATTTTATTTTTCAGTTCCAGAATATACATGTGGGTCTTTTTATATTTTCTATTTTTCTGTTTTTGTTTATAAGAAAGAATTAGAAAGAAACTCTGAATACTGAAACGTTATAAGTGTGGAATGATGGGTGATTTTTTAATTTAAAAACTATACCTTTGTATTTTAAATTATTAGCATAGGGGAGCTGGGGAGGGATAGCAGGGGGAGAAATGCCAGATGTGGGTGAAGGGGAGGAAGAGAGCAAATCACTGCCATATGTGTACCTATGCAACTATCTTGCATGTCCTGCACATGTACCCCAAAACTTAAAATGCAATAAAAAGAAAATAAATAAATATTAGCATATTATTAATGATCTTATAAAAATAACTATTGATAAGTTTGTATATATGCTTCTAGTCCAAGCATCTCTATTTCTAAGTTTTCTTCAACAGAAAGTAACTAATAAGTAATGTCACATTTTTTGATGCCTAAATTGCCATACAGCCAAAGGAACTTTAGTCATTTCTAAAGATCCTCTCCCAAAATATCTTTGAGAAGTTCTGGTTGCTTACACTTACTCATTACTCAATATGTTTATCTCCTCCTTCATCTCTTTTTTGTGTCTTAGAAATTATCTGATTTTCCCCAATTTCCTATTATGAAAATTTTCAAACACGCAGACCACTCAAAAGACTCCAATTAGTACCCCTCCTAGAAGATTAAACAAATTCAAATATTTGTTTAACAACTGTTAACATTGTTTAACAGTAGGCCATTTTTTGAAATATCTGTGTGTGTATAGATATATGTTTGCTGATCTGTTTCGAAGTTGCAATCATCATTACTCTTTACTCTCAATGTTAAAACTTTATCTTGGATACTGTAAAAATAAGAATATATATATATAGATATATACACCTATACACATATATATATATTATATATGTGTATCGGTGTATATATGTATATATCCACAATATCAGTATCACACTCAAGAAAACAATTCTAGATTTTTTCCTAATATTTAGTAAATATTAAATTTTCCTAATTGTCCCAAGAATGTCTTTTATTTATGTTTGTTTTTTATTTTTTGGGACAGGATCTGTGTTGCCCAGGCTGGAGTGCAGTGGTACAATCATGGCTCAGTGGAGCCTCAGCCTCACTGGGCTGAGATGATTTTTCCTGCCTCAGTGCCTCAAGTAGCTGGGACTACAGGCAGGTTTCACCATGCCTGGCTAATTTTTTGTGGGTGTTTTTTTGTGGCTTGTTTGTTTTTAAGAGAAGTGGTTTCACCATGTTGCCCAGGCTTGTCTCAAACTCCTGGGCTCAAGCAATCCACCTCCCTCAGCCTCCCAAAGTGCTGGAATTACAGATGTGAACAACCATGCCTGGCTCCCAAGAATCTTTTATAACTTTTTCAAATCTGTATTCAGTCAAACTTGTTGTATCTCTATAAATCTGGAACAGTTTCCTCCATCTTTGGTGGGTTTTGGTATTTTTCTAATGACCATCGCTATTTAAACAATCTACGCTGATATGTCCCACTTCTGTACTTATCTTAAAGCATTGTTTAACTTTTTCCCTACTAATTAAATTCCTGTAAACTTGAAGTTAGTTCTATACTCAGCTTGATTAGAATCAGGTTAAACTTTTTTTTTTTTTTGAGACAGGATCTTGCTCTGTCACCCAGGCTGCAGTGTAGTAGCATAATCATAGCTCACTACAGTCTTGAACTCCTGGGCTCAATTGATTCTCCTGCCTCAGCCTCCCAAGTAGTTTGGACTACAGGCACATGCTACCACACCCAGCTAATTCTGTGTGTGTGTAGAGACAGAGTCTTGCTATGTTGCCAGATTGGTCTCCAGCTCCTGGCCTCAAGCAGTTCTCCCACTTCAGCCTCCCAAAGTTCTGGGATTATGGGCCTGAGCCTGCACCCAGTGAAGTTAAACATTTTTTATGACAATAAGTCATAGATAATAATATGTACTTCACATTATATCACTACAGGAAGTACATGATGTTAAGTTATCCACAATTCATTATACTAAATTCAAGCTCTTGGTTAAAGTGGCAACTCCACATCTCTCTAATGTAAAGGAATATTTCCCTGTGCAATGATCTATAAGCTGTTACTGTGGCACCATGCAAATATCTTGCTTCCCAATAACATTATACCTAATAGTTTTTTAGGACCATTGCTAAAAATTGACTGAATTAATCATTATTCATTATAAAGAGTTGCAAAAACAATAATTTGTAATTCTTTCATTATTTCTACATTCATAAAGTGGTATTCTTTTATTTTAAAAATTTCCTTTTTCTTCCTATACTACCTCTTTTCTTTTTTGAAGATCACCAAGGACTCACGAATATTCCTTTATTCAGAATGTTGTAATAATCTATGTTCAAGTTATTCTGAAGTTGGCCAATAGGAGTCCCTGCAGTCTGCTGTTTGACACAACTCCATTAGTCTTTGAAAACTTCCTTGCTGTATGCA